AAAAGGCAGAAAGGAGTATATGCAGAAATGGCACACATTCCATGTCTTTTGGCAATATCAGATTATGTAATGGAAAACGTGTTTGAGTCTATGATGCTGAAAAACTGGTTGCCAGCTCTGGCCAAGGCTATAGATGTTAGTTAAGAACTGACAGACTCATAGCAGGAAACCAAAACAGTTCATCGGTGTGTTACTTTTGTTCAAAATAGGTATTAATCTTATATTAATGTATTTAGTGTTTAGACTCTATGAAATGCTTGTAAGTTGATGCATGCATTAATTTAACTTGCAATGTCTGTATTCCATGCTACAAGATAAAAATATAAATTTGTTTTATAACTGTAAAAATGCCTGTTTTGAACTTGTGAACGCAGACAGGAAAAGTGGCTCCACACACCCATCCAAGAGGACTATCAACATTAAATGGGCCATCAAAGGAGAAAAGCTTTGTTAACTGCCCCATCCACCCATGGTGAAGTATGTGCAGGAGGCCTTGTCCCATCAGTTGGAATGCCAGAAGAGGCAAATAAAAATAGCTAATGAAGATTTTTCATCTCTTTCAAGTTTGAACTCTTACAAATTGGGTGCTGTAGGTTTGCTACAGAGAAATAAGGGATTAGCAAACATCACATGAAATGTAAATATTCACTGTCAATAATTGTTTTTATGCAATAAAAGTTTTTTGCAATTATTTTTACTAATCTGCTCAAGTTATCTTTAACCCAAAGAGCATGCCTGTGCTAAAGGACAAGGGGCTCCCTGGTATCTAGCAATGAGTCTCAGCTGGCCTGACCAGCTCAGTATACCCCAGCTCACTGTTGTCATAAACTGTATCTAAAAGATGTCATGGAAGGTTTGCTAGAATGACATGCTAGTCATTAATATTATTGGGTGGTGTATGCACAAGTGATGTATGGAAAATTATAAATATGTGCTAGACATATGTTCTTACAATGTTTCTGGAAGATAGGGCATAAGGCACCCTGCCGTAGACAATGTATATTGAGCAAAGAAAGACGATAGAAGTACATTTACATAAAAGGCAAACAAAGCCATCAGACTAGTTCGTGGGGGAGATAACTATCATAGTGGCAGGAAGGAAACTGCAAAAATTAACATGGGCTCAACTCCCACGTGACACAGCAAGCTGAGTCCCTAGGAGGGCTTCCTGCCTTGACAAAAAAGAAACTGAGGATATAAGCAGAGAGAGAAAGCCATTTTGGCATACTTAACCTGAGGAGACAATGAAACCAAGTGCTTTAGGCTCTATGTTGTATCCTGGGTAAGGACTGGGCAGCCATGCTGTAAGAACAACTGTGGTGAGAAAACTACTCCAAACAAAAGTTTGTTAAGTTAGGTTTTAGTCTTAGAAATGTATTTTTATTTTTGTTTGTTTGTAATCATTTCTATCCCAATTCCTTCTACTCGGTATCCGCTGAATACAAGTTCTTTGTTAATAAACTTAATCTTGTTTTATTACACAACCATCTCAGTGCAGTGTTTCAAACTGAAGAGTAAAATCTTCAGCCAAACTAACAGGCTGATGCTAGGTACTGTCTCTTTAAAGAAGCAGCAAACTTGATAAGGTTTTGTGAGGGACTAAGCACCGCAGAAGACATGGTTTTGGGGAGACTGGGAACTGGAAGGCTATTGGTGTCACTGCACAAAGAATAGCCAGGCTGATAGAAGCCAGGGTGAAGTCCTTGTGCTGTAAGCAGGCTGCTGGTGTCAGGGATCTAAGCTGCACAGTACAGAAGCACCTAAGGCTACAGGGCAGGTGGTGACATAACCCCTTAATTGTTTGGATGAACCCCCCAAAGCGTCACAGTACCTCATTATTCAGAAAATTTATACCCTGCATAGGTTGGTGGTTAGTTTTTTTAAAACAGTTTTTGACATGCTTTAACCTAGCAGTTTCAGATTTAATTTTAGTTCACTTTTAATTTAATATTCTGACAATTCAGCTCTAACTTGTTCTGAAATGAAAAAGGACTACAATGCTCAGGAAAGCTGGAAAGTTCTGATATTTCAAACTGCTGAGTGTAAACAGACCGCAGTTTGGGGGAGACAAAGCTGCAGTAAACTGAACAAGGACCCAAACAATCAAAATTAACCCTGGATACCAAAGAAAGACTACTAAATGCAATTACAGCATTCATGTTAGGAAGAAACAACTTCTTCTGATAATTTAGGCAAATTACTTAGAAAAATTGAGTTTGTACCTCTTTTTATCATGGAAACCACAGGAGGTGTTTTATTATGGGAATTAAACAGAGCTTATCCTAATGCAAGATGATTTTTACAATTCCCCCCCTGAAGAATCTAAATTGTAAAAATGTATGTAGACAAAATATTTTGGAAAATGCCACACTTCTAAAGACAAATGTAATGTCAGAGAAAGAGCCAAGTAAGTACGATATTTCCATTTTTATTTTGAGTGTCATTGCTGACTTTCTACTATGCATATTTTTAGTAATTTACAGATGGGAAGTGGCTGCATAGAAATCCTCTGACAATTATTTTCTTTATTGGTGCATGCACATGGAAATCCTCCCAGACTGCACATCTCTGTAGGCAAAGAAGCAAATACCTTCTTAAATACTATTCACAATTTGGAACCCCCAAAGACTTAATGGGTGCCATGCACTACCTTGCATGAAAAACTGACCGATTGACACTATTGTGACTGACATCACAAGAATAGCCTGATCTCTAGATTTTGCTCAAACGACTCACTCCTGAGGCACACCAAATTTCAGAAAAATCTGACTAAGCACGTTGAGTTTAGAGGACTTTGTGTAAAGGTCAATCTTTAAAGAGAGGTGGTAATGCAACCTTAACTATAGTGGCATTGCTGCACTACTATTCTGGTAGCAACACTCAGTCACTTCCAAATTCTGTTGGAATTAAATTGGTAACCTGGTGGAGGAAGTTCTTTATTTCAAAACCAATCCTCAGAGTCATCCAGTCCCCTATTATATTGTTCTATTTTAAAATGTAGCTTTCAGTACATTTTCAGTAGGCTCCAAAATTCAAATTGTAATTAAACTTAATTTTCAAATATATTTCACAATTTATTTCTGATGCAAAGAGCTTCTCATTTTATAATTTCAGACGGCTGGGTTTCGACAAATGGGTACAATTTACTTTTAAAATGGTAAAAAAAAAATTATAAAATATTATTACAATAAATTGTATGGGGGAGGTTCTTAGGTGATACTGAAATAGAATTGTCAGATTCTTAGAGAAGTCACTTGCTGTTCTCTGCCTAATACTATTAGCATGAAATGCTCATTCCATTTCATACTCATCTTACTATAGATAAAACCACTGAGATGTATTTGTATTGTTGAACTGCATTAGTATGTTCTTAATCCCAACTGTCTTATTAACGTTCATAAAAAATCTTTTCAATTAGTAATTGAATTTAAGTCATTTAAACTTGAGGGTCAATTCCATTCATAATATTGTACCACCCCACCCCTAAATTAGACCAATTTAACCAACATAGTTATTCTACATAAACATACTAAACAGAGAAACAGACGATTCCAGAGATTCTAATAGATTTAAATATATTTTTAACCTTTGATATTCATTTTAAAGATGCAAGAATAAGAATATATCAACATGTTGACAGTACAAAGCCTCCCGGGATTTCATGAAATTTCCCGTTAACTATTTAAAAAAATTGTTGAAATACTGTAACAATTTTATGTCAATAAAATGTTGTCTTAACATTTTCTATGCAATTATGTGTACGAACATACAGTGATGGACTCCCCCCGGGGTGCCACCTGGAACTGGGGTACCACTGAGCTCTCTGACCCACCAGCCTGGGCTCCCTCTCACACTGTGCTGCTGTGACAAGTTGCAAAGCCCTCCAAGCTTGCACTTTCATCGGCATTCACACAGGTGGGGGGGACAGACCCGCTGCAGTTACGTGCAAGCTCTCTAACCACCAGAATCTCATCCTAGGACCTCAGAGCAGTACGGTCCTGCCTTGGTCAAATCTTGCCAGTATATTCGCTTAACACCTGGGGACTATGTGGTTACTTGTGGTAACCAAGCTGAGATTTTCCCCAGACACCTTAGTCAAATGCACACTGGTTTGGATTAAAACATAAAATAAGTTTAACTACAAAAGGATAGATTTTAAGTGATTAGAAGTGATAGCAAACAGATCAAAGCAGCTTACCTAGTAAATAAACAAAACTGTAAACTGAGTTTAACATACTAGATAGGTAGGATATGAATTAGCAGATTCTCACCCTGAGTGATAAACAGGCTGGCAGATTCTTAAGGAGCAAGCTGCACTAACTTATAGCTTGGAATCCCCAAGTATTTCATTCATAGGCTAAAAATCCCTTTAGTCTGGGTCCAGCACTTCTCCCCAGCTCAGTTTTATGTTCCTCAGGTGTTTCCAGGAATCTTCTTGGATGGGGAGTCAGTGAAGAACCACAATGATGTCACTCCCCAGCCTTAAATAGCTTTTGCATATGCTTTGTCTCAAAGCTTGATTCCCACGTCAGTCAGTGGAAAAACACTGATATCCCAATATGGAGTCCAGCACCAGGTGACCAGGTCACATGTGCCTGTAGTGTCACAGCAGCTATAACTCAGAGGCTGTTTATAGCATCCTTCAGGAAGGCCTCCCTCTCTTTCCCCCTGGTGTGAAATAAGCTTCTTGTAAGGCCTATTGTTCTCCCTAATGGTTTATTAACTTGAATGGGCCCTTCCCAGCCAGTCATCTAGACTGAGTTTTTTGTCTAGAGGGTGTTCCCCATGTGTAAACACATTTGAAACACAGATACATAGTCAATATTTCTAACTTCAGATACAAAAATTATACATGCACAGAAGTAGGACAATATTCAGTAAATCATAACTTTTTCAATATCTTACATGACCTATCTTGCATAAATACATCATAGTTATGCCATAATCATATCATATAATAATATCTCTATGAAGAATATAGAGTGCTGTGTCACACTTACCTTTTCCCCAGGAAGCCCAGAAACACCATTTTCTCCTTTAACACCCACTTCACCCTAAAAGATAAATTGCATATTTAGAGATTTAAGATTTCTGAGTTTGCCTTGCTACCAAGGCAACATGTTATTAACAGATTGTTTATTTCCCATGTATATATAGTTCTATTTTCTATCAAGCTTTACAAGATATCACAAAATGGTGCTCTCATTGTGGGAGCATTGTTTAGTGAAAATATGAGCTATGTAAACTTGGGGGAAAAACCTGATGGCATAAAATTAAAAACCTCACTTAAAGAAAAAGAGAAAAGAAAAGCAATTCAGAATTAAGGCCTGGTAAACACTTATACACATGCTTAACTTTGCTACCCCAAGCACTCCCATTGATTTCAGTGGAACTAGTCACTGTGGTATTAAAGTTGTACCTCTGGGTGGGCACTTCTGTCATAACTTGCATTATAATGAAAAAGGTTGGATTTGTATATTTCTACATTGCAGATGCATGAGGGCAAAATTTGTCTCTCTGTGACAGGGTTATGTATATACAAACATCAGTATCTAGTACCTTCACTCCTCATTAGGATATATCAGAGAAAAGGAAAGTGTGTTTCAATCACAGAATCATAGAAGATTAGGGTTGGAAGAGGCCATCTAGTCCAACCCCCTGCTCAAAGCAGGACCAAACCAACTAAATCATCCCAGCCAGGGCTTTGTCAAGACAGGCCTTAAAAACCTCTCAGGATGGAGATTTCACCACCTCCCTAGGTAACCAGCCAAGCTCCAACCTCTATGGAACCCCCTTTCAGGTAGGTGAAGGCTGCTATCAAATCCCCCCTCACTCTTCTCTTCTGCAGACTAAACAAGCTCAGTTCCCTCAGCCTCTTCTCGTAAGTCATCAATTTTCTCATTTTATAAAAGGTTTCAAAAATATAGGAGCCAACATCCTACTGTCCTAAAACAAAACTCCCGTTCATGGCAGGATTTAGCCCAGTGTCTACATATACACTACATGCAGCTAATATTTCTATTGCTAGCAGTTCACTTGTGCAGGTAGTATTTCTTCTTTTTTAAGATGCTAATAGTCAGGGGCAAAAGAAGTTCTCACTGAATTGGAATATCCACACCTCATGCTAACAAGTCATTTAATGTTAAATTCATCTACACCCAATACTTAAAAACAAGTATAAAATGTGTTGGGGATTTGCTAAAAGATGTATAGGACTAATCCTCAGCTGGTGTAAATTGGCATACCTCACTAACTTCAATGCTTCTATGGTAATTTAGAATAACTGAGAATCTGGACCATTGTTTTTAAAAACAAGTGAAGAAAACAACACACATTTAAATTTTCCTTAGTAATTTCAAGTATGACAATCTGTAAAGTTTTGAAATTAAAATGAGGGAAGATAACAAAAACACTGAATCAATATTAGATACTCTAATAATCACAAATGAAAAGTTTTTCTACTCTTATCTAAAAAAGAAACTTTCTTCCTAGCAACCAACAACTCAATTCTGCAGCCCCTTTTCAGTCAATAGCACATATGACAGTAATCCCACTGATTTCAATGACATTACTCACATAAGTGCTACTCAGTGGGAGAAAAAGGTTACAGAATTAGACACCAAGTAAAGAAAAGAAAAAGTCTAGAGTCTGAAGGTCATGTTTTCTGGTTATCAGTTTCTAAAAGCAGGAGATTTCTCCAGGTGACTACTACCTGAACTTTGAAATGATACCACTCTGTTGCCTATAACCCTTGCCCTTGTCTTTGTCTCTTCCTCTCTTGCCACAGCATCCATTCACAGAAACCCACAGAAATGACTGCACCTGCACAAGCCAGCTGGCAACTCTTATTTAATTGCATGTGAGTGGGATCAGCAAATCAAGCAAAATGAATTACACATGTGTATGCAGCTGCATTCCATGCAAAAATTCAAATCCAGTGAATTGAAGCAATTATTAGTTTTTTTTCATTTTTTTTTTTCATATTGAAATTGTCTTGAATATAGTTATGTTAAGTTAGTTCAATCCCAACAGCAGAATAAAATCTTCAGTATGTGAATGACAAACAGCCACTGGCACTATGAGAGGGTGAACAGCAGGAAAGACTCCTGTTTCCTTGCCTAATCACCCACATCATACTTTGCTTCCTGTGCCACTTTCAGCTAAGAGAGACCAGAACATTTTATATTCAGCAGAATATTTTTACATATTATATGCTATAAATTCATAGTTCTATGTGCTACTTATGTAAAAAAAAAAAGCTCTAAGTGTGAGTGACTTACTAACTAGTCAACCATGGTAAATTTACACAGCTGTTTCGGAACAGTAGATAGACTTTCCTCCTAAAGACCTTAAGACAACTATATTCCATAGCAAATTGGATTATGAAGTTATTCCTGTATCATATAATTGTGATTTTAATAAGCAGAGTGTAAAGCGTACAGATTATACTTTATGTTATACTCCCTATATAAGAATGACTGAGCTTTCATACAGACATCAGGAGAGATTAGATAGCAGAAAAAAGAATCAGTAGGGGTATGAATGGACGAGTGGACTATAAGGTGGATAGAAAGCTGTCTAGATCATCAGAGACAACAGGTAGTGATCAACATCTCAATGTCTAGTTGGCAGCCGGTATCTAGCAGAGTGCCCGATGGGTTGGTCCTGAGGCCAGTTTTGTTTAACATCTTCATTAATGATCTGGATGATGGGATGGATTGCACCCTCAGCAAGTTCACGGATGACACTAAACTGGAGGCAGATCCACTGGAGGGTAGGGATAGGGTTCAGAATGACCTAGACAAATTGGAGGATTGGGCCAAAAGAAATCTGATGAAGTTCAACAAGGGCAAGTGCAGAGTCCTACATTTAGGATGGAAAAATCTCATGAACTGCTACAGGCTGGGGATCGACTAGCTAAGCAGTAGTTCTGCAGAAAAGGACCTGGGAATTACAGTGGATGAGAAGCTGGATATAAGTCAACAGTGTGCCCTTGTTGCTAAGAAGGCTAACGGCATACTGGGCTGCATTAGTAGGAGCATTGCCAGCAGATTGAGGGAAGTGATTATTCCCCTCTATTTGATAAGGTGAATCTACTAGTGAGGCCACATCTGGAATATTGCGTCCAGTTTTGGGCCCCCACTACAGAAAAGATGTGGACAAATTGGAGACAGTCCAGCAGAGGGCAACAAAAATGATTAGGGGGCTGGGGCACATGACTTACGAGGAGAGGCTGAGGGAACTTAGCTTATGTAATCTGCAGAAGAGAAGAATGAGTGGGGATTTGATAGCAGCCTTCAACTACTGAAGGGGGGTTCCAAATAGGATGGCTGTTTTCAGTAGTGGCAGATGACAGAACAAGGAGCAATGGTCTCAAGTTGCAGTGGGGGAGGTCTAGGTTGGATATTAGGAAAAACTATTTCACTAGGAGGGTGGTGAAGCACTGGAATGGGTTACCTAGAGAAGTGGTGGAATCTCCATCCTTAGAAGTTTTTAAGGCCTGGCTTGACAAAGCTATCCCAAGATTACAGATGGGGTGACTGAGGCACAGAGTCAGTGGCAGAGATGAGGAAAAAACAGGTTCACTGACTCCCAGCCCTATGCTCCATCTGCTAGACCAGCCTTCCTTGTCCCAGAGCATGCTAGCAATACATTGAATACTGAATGTGTGCTTTATAAATATAAACAAATAAATTAATAACAACAACTGAGAGCAATAATAGAACAGAATTAAAATCAATGACTTAGACAGAAACTAGCAGCAGCAATTTTTAATCAGGCAAAGTGGTTAATTTTGAGCTTTCCAAAATACTCAGACAAAACAGACTGCTTTCACCAGAAACCCATCATTTGCTGGCTCAGGGTTAAAGAGACTTGGATTTAAAGGCAGGATTCTAAAAAAACACACGTGTTAAGTATGAAACTACAGGGCTAATAAGAAGTAATATGGGGAATATTTTCAAAGGCACAAAAGGGAGTTGGGCACTTGAGTTAAGAATCTGATTATAAGGATTACTGGTGATTATAGGTATCAAAAATTAGAGCCATACTGTAATTACAGTGTAACTTCACTGCACTGTAACAAATGTTCATGCACTATGAAATATAACTGATTAATATAATCTGACAAGACTGGTGGTCTAGTTGTAGAAGAAAATCTGAGTTCAAAACCTGAGCTGTGTGAGCCTGCAGATTATGCTGAACTGAACCCAAATGTTTGATTCACAAAGATTGGAAGCAAACCCATCTATTTATGTTGTTTGGAAGTTATACCATAATTGAATACACTCTGACAACCACAGGAATCCCATCTCTCTCCCTTGTATTGTGGTCCATTCTATTACCAGCCCCTTCTTTCAATTTCTGTGAAGTCCTTGATGTTTTGAGTTGAGAGCAGATAAAACACCGTAAGGGTTAGGCTCAGGTGACCTCGCACCTCTCCTGGAGACAGGCAGCCTTTCTCCCTGATACTCTGGAGGGCAGTTCCCGGTTGCCTCTTCCCCTACTTTCTATCTTACCAAAGGGACCATCAGGAATGGACAATCTTCAATACACACCAAAGGTATTGGAGAGAGGCCAGGACACAATAGACTCCTGGATAGGTAGCAGGAAGGGGACACACTAATCCCAGGCCACCAAGGCCCAGATCCACAAAGGGACTTATAGCTAGGCACTTAAGAATGAGATTCAGAAAAGCCAGCAAGCTAGGTGGAGAGCTGCCTAAAATAGCCAATGGAAGATGCTGAGAAGAGGGGGTGTCCTAAACCCTCCCCCTTAGGGACTTAGATGTCTAAATCTGGGTTTCAGGGAAGCACCTATCTCTGCTAGCAATCCACAACTAGGAACCCCTCTCCTGGAGTCAGGTGGCTTAGGTGCCTACGTAATTTCTTATGAGAAAGAGTTAGGCACCTGCCTCCCTCCACACAAAACAGTGGCTGGAGATAGTGGTGGTGCTGCCACCCACTTTATAACCTTTAACCCAGTAGTTAGAGCACCCACCTGGAATGTGGGAGACCCAGGTTCATTTACCCCCTCTAATTCGAGTGGAGAAAGGATTTGAACAGGGGTCTCCCACCTCTCAGCAGGGTGCTCTGATCACTGAGTTATGGGATAGTCTGATGTGGGGCTCCCACAATCTCTCCTGTTGAAGCTATTCCACTTTGGATAAATACTTCACGAGGCACTGGACCTGAGAGAGAAAGAGAGAAAATGACTCTGTAGCTGGTGGTTGGGGCACCCGCTGGGGAAGTGGAAGACCAGGGTCCCATCGCACTGCTCCAATGACTCTAATTATTTAAAAAGAGACAACAGTTTCTTGGGAAGGTGAAGATGTTTGAGAAGGCCTCACAGACTTTCCCTTGGTACAAACATAATCCTCAGGTTTATGGATAAATCTCAAACCTTGAAACCGGGGTCACTTTGAAGGGGATAAAAGGTACAATACAAATATTTCCCACTTGTCATTCAAAACTGCTCAGTCCTACGGTCCTGCAGGTGGGAGTGTTACAGCAAGAGCCTTAGCCCTGTGAGAGTAGAGAACCTTGCACTGCTAATTAAATAAATAAATAAATAAATAAACCCACCCTCTGGACAGTTCTGGAATGGCACTGATAATGGTTCCAGAGTGAATTTAGCCAAAAAGATGGGCTATTATGCCATGGGATCTCTAGAGGAATATAGGGAAACAAAGAGAAATGGGTGGAAAGATGTTCATGGCTGCAAGAGAGTAAAGGACTATTTGTCTCAGATTTGTACAAGATGATAATACCCTGATTTTCCCCATACAAAGTTAGCAATTCAGACCTTGAAGGAACACTAAAACAACCAGAGGGAAATAAATTGTCAGCTCATCCATCCAACCACTGAGCAATGATACTTAAATGCACTAAAGATAGTAACAGTTTCATAAACTGAACATAGAAAAGATCTTGTCAATGTTATGGGTCATGAAATCCATTCAGGATAATTAAATTTTGAAATAGCACAATGACCGGTCATTAAAAAATGAATTTAAACCTATCATTAATATTCACTATGAAAGGCAACATAATGACAATTCTTTTCAACAGAATTCAAGGTATTTACCAAGTAAAATATTTAATAAATAGCAGAATCTTAAGAATCTTGATATATGTTACAGATAATAGGAGGGTTGCTATATTTTTGACAATGCTCACTTCTGTCAAGTCATAAGCAGATAGGGTGGAAGTTTACCAGATCAACATAATAAAATGTTCCTCGCAATTTTCCTTCAAGATTCCTCCTAAAGCAAAACCAAGTTTTAAATAATGATTGTGTCGACAGCAACATATTCCCTTCTTATGATGCTAACCATTTCCCAGTCTGAAGTGGAAGCAATTTTGCACATCTGACACTACCTGCAGCACTGTTTTTTGATCATCTCATTACATTAACTATTCAGAATGCCTCAAAGGCAATTGACCTTTTAATCTTCATGTCATGCAGCCATTATGTGGTGCACCTATTGTAAAACTAGAAATTATATGCTAGTATGGAACACAAAAGATGGTACCTTGTTTCTTTTATCATGCATTACAATTGTAGGATCACATACAGCAAAACTGACTTAAAGCAAAATATGTTAAAAAGAATGACAAGAGCAACTTGTCTTTAAGCTGACAAATTTAATTCATTTCATGTCTAAAGCCCTAAGACATGCTATTAAAAACATATTTTGGTCAGAGATACATATTTGCAAGTTCAGGATTGAAGTCACGTCAAATGTATTTACAGGCGAGTCTCATCTTATGCAGGGATTCCGTTCCGCGGTTAGCGCGTAAAGGGAAAATCGCATATAGTCAAAATTACATTGAGTTGAATGGCGGGCGGAATCGCCCGCACTACAGGTACAGTATTAAAATTGTTATTTTTCTCTCTCTTTTTTTTTTTTTGCCGACCGCGTAAAGCTGAAATCGCGCATGTTAAATGCGCGTAAGATACGACAGACCCTGTACATGACAATATGAAATGCTAATTCTTAAGTTAGAAAACAATATCTACAATCAGTTTCAAGAACTAAATCTGATATGAGAAGGAAAGCACCAACTGATTATGTCACACATTAGGCCATGGTTTTGTTAGCAAGACACATGCAAATGCAGTGAATGGGTGGAAGTGTGGACACAATTTGGCCTAGTGCACATAAATATTCCTAAGTGTTGCATTACATTTCTGCATTTGTCCTCAGGAATGGACACACTGGTCCAGATAAAATGAAAATGTACCCTCCCATGAACCTTTGTCATCCCTCAAACCCAACCTAAATGCAGCTTTTTTATAGGTTTGATTAAGTTTTCACATTGGCACCTTTACACATCTGTGTTCTACCTGGCACCAGAAATAGAAATGTCCAGCTACCTTAAAAGCCATCTAACTGAATTTGTGGTCTAATTAGAAGAAAGAAATACTAGAAAGTTCAAGAGAAAGTTGTTCCCATAAAAAATCCAATCTAATTTTGCACACCCAAGAAACTGATATTTCTAACAGGAGTCCAAACTTCTGAGTCTATATCTAAATTAAGTCTCCAAGCTTTTGAGAGTTGCCCACCACTAATTAGTGCAATGAACACCAGATATGAAGGGAATCATTCTGAGAGTTTTAGATAAATATAAAAGCATTAGCAGGAGTCAGGGGAGCTTAGGCTAAAAGAGGAGCCAGACAGAAACCACATAATGTTCTCTAGAGTTAGTGGGTATATGCTGACTCATGACGTGCATGTGCATACCTGGGAGCAAGATATTGAAAAAGGGAAATATGTTCTTTGTGAACCTCTCATTTTGTAACTGCAATACACTGGTCTAGAACATGCAACAATGTCTCCCTGTAATGGATTGCCCAAGTAACTACAACTTACCACTTTTACACTGCCAAAGGAGCTCTCAGCTTAAGCAGAAAGGTCTCTTTTCAGTTCTGAAGTTCCCAGGTTCAAGTATTGCTATCAATCAGCATGTCTGAATGTATGTGGCTATGGTTTTTTACATGAAGAATTTTCTTTCCTTTTTCAGGCAGACTGAAAACTTTAAGGCTACTACTTAAAAACAGATGAAAAATGTAAATGTCTGGAGACTTAACACTGCGGGTTAGACACAGTGAACCAAATATATATTTTGGTGGCCCTAACTGAAGAGAACAAAACCTTCTGGGTCATTGGTTTGAATCCAAACAGGGGAAGATTTGTCTAAAATGGCTAGAATCTCATGGCTATTAAATTCAATGAGTTTGTGATTTCAGTCCAGTGCCCAGTGGACAGACCTCCACATCACAAAAAAACACACCAATCATAACTGCACTAAGTAGTACCCTTGCAGTCAATCTCAGGACAAAAGACAGGAACTAAATCCACATGCTGAATTAATTAATATCCTCCCCCTCTAAGCGTGTCCCATTCTCCCCCCCCCTTCCCAGAGGAGAAGAAAGGCATACAGGCGGAGTAATGTAGATAAGCTTGCAGTGATGCTATTGCCAGAGCTGTGCATGTTCTGTGGATAATTAGATGAAAACACCAGATCATAATGGCTGAGAATTCCAGTTTTCCCCAGCCAAGTTCTAATGGCTGGTTAAATCTTTTTCATTATGCATCCACTTTTAATGGTGCACAGCTGAGACCTCATCAAAGGAAAGAGACTATTTCTCGCCATTATGTTATGGGTAAAAGAGAAAGTATGTAAGAAGGACGATTTTTTTCTTTCTTATGCTCTATTTCTCTACCACACCATTTATCACGTTATGGGTATTGGCTACAAAAGCAGCAAAACATTTTAACATCCCTGCCCCACCTCTGATCTCCTGTGTTTGCCTCCTCTTGCTCCTGTCCCAAATTCCTAAGAAACTTAATTGGGAGCCTCAAACCACTTCATGTCCCTAAAATTAAACTTCACCTTAAACATTGCCCAGTTACTTCACTAGCTTCACGAGGCTTGAGGTGCCTAAATTGGGAGGTGATTTAAGGCTGCCAATTCTGTTTATTAGGAATTTAGTAAGAGAGGAAGGGAAGAGGAAAGGGAGGAAGGCAGGGAGAGCAGGTGGAGAGAGAAAAGGGCCATTTTAAACTATTCCTTCTGTCTTCTGAGAGTTCTTTTCTTTAGTAATTTCTCTTATCCTACTTCAATGTTACTTAAAGCACTGGTCTAGTTAAACCACATTCTGGGTCTCTTGTCTGTCTTCCTGCAGAGTCCAAAACAGTGTTGGTAAGGGGAAAAAAGCACAAGGAAAACTGAGGGACCACGGAATGGGTGCCGTTCTGTTTTATTATAATATAATTAATTTAATATTTATATTGTTATATTTTATAGATGTATAAGAGGATTTCTCAAAAAAAAAAAAAAGCTGTATAAGCTTTCTTGTTACCGAAAGTAGGAAGAAACAGGAGGTAAAGCCTTGGCAGGTGTCATAAGGGACTGACATCTTACCTTTTCTCCTTTATCTCCTTTCAGACCTGGCAAACCAGCTACTCCTGGCAATCCTGCTTCACCCTGTTTAAAAATGAGTTTTCAGATAACAGAAATAGGTGATATTTTTCCTTTTTCTACCACAGAAACTTTAACAATATAAATCAGTCAAGACAAATATGGCACTAACACTGGGACAATGATACAGTGCTGTTATCTGACACTAAAAAGATAAGAGTCCAGGAAATAGTGGACTCTCACATAAGCAATCTAAGTAAAATATAAATTGTGTAAGAATAGTTTTCATTTTTCATGCTGCTTCTGAAGATGATCCAACAAGAGTCCATTTGTTTTGTGCATTCAAGACATTTAATCTTGTAAAGCTAACAAACATTAACTTTTAATTTAATTTACATTTATTTTATCTTATCTTACCCTCCAAATATAAGGCTAGGTGTACCACAGAAATGAACCATTTCCGTACTTCCAAAGAAATTCAGAATTTCTACACCTGCATCAATTAAACAGCATGGTGCATTAAATAACAGTTTGAGAATCTGCAAAGCATGCAAGATAAAGGATATATGTGTAGAAGAAGACTCTCATACTTTGTTTGGAAAGCAGAGGCATAGGTCTTTAGACTCCTGCTGTGTTACTGGAAGAGCATGTATTTTGCTGACATGAACAGTCACTGGTGACGAAGAAGTAGTAATGAAACTGTCCTCCAGTGGGCACTAAAATAGAAATAATGATTATTCTGAATTGAGTCCACTGCTGGTAACTGACAAGTAAAAATCCAAACATGGTTCCTATTCAGCCTTTTTTGTCTCAGGTTACTGCACACAGCACCAGTAAAATGAAGACTATAGATGTGTGATCCTGCTGCACTGAAACCAAACCTAGGCAAATATGCCTGTTTTATAAATAAAATATAAGTCACTCTAGGTGTAATACAATGTTAGGAAATCCCTGATCTCTCCTGTCACAGTGTGAGGGTCCTAGTTTCCCTGAAAATGGAAGAGGGGAATAAAAGGCTACTGAGCCACCTGATCACCACAGGAAATGATTAAAAGTAAGAGGGGAACTCACGGGCAAGGGGGGAGGTTGTCACTTCTGTAATGTAACTTGCTGGGTTTACCATTCAGAAACCCCCCAAACTGAAGCCAATGCTCAAAGGTCTGGAAACCATCTGAGCTGAGGCTACTCATCAGGTACACTGAAAGTCAGGTGAACAGAAACTGGCATATTCTAATGAAAACATAACCAGGGTCTCTGTGATCCTGCAGTCATGATATTTCACCCAGAATATAGCTCTTGTGCAGAATTTTGCTTCATAATATAAGCTTTTCTTTTTTTAAAAAATGCAATTTTAGCCGTTACGGTTGCTAAGAAAGGCTTATAAAATCCGAAAATATAAAATTGCTTACAATAGTTATATTTAAAGCAACTAAGTTTATGATGATTATAAGAAAGTAACAATGTTTAGGCCATTCATTTTACATTTTCAGGACAGGGAGCTTTGTCATTTGTCTGTGGAATAAGATATACTAGAATTCAAAGCTTCTTTTATCTGTGTAGTTGAATTGTACTTTAAGGATGCTATAGATTCAATATGATGAGGTGGCTAAAGAAGGACCTGAAAAAGAGCTCTGTGTAGCTCAAAAGCCTGTCTCTCTCACCAACAGAAGTTGGTCCAATAAAATATATTACCTCAACTACCTTGGCTCTCTAATATCATGGGACCAACATGGCTACAATACTGCAAACATAAATTCAGTATGACCTTTTCCATACATAACTAAATGTTTTAGTTGTGTCATAGCCTGTTTAAAATGCACTTCTGTACACAAGAAGTTAACAGAAATGCCACTCATTTTACTCAGCCCAGTAGTTTGTATATTAAGGGGAGGAAGTCTCTTTTCTCACCAGGAATAAACTACGAAATGTATGTGAACATAAAAGTGATATTTTAAATTTAAAATTTAAATTTCTCTTCACAATCTTGCTCCACTCTACATTTCTGACCTCACATCTGCCTACTCCTTGCTCACACACACTGTACTCTAATCTTGTTCTAATCTTGGCAAATTTTTCTCCCCTTTCCCTGTCTCTTTACAGCTGAGATACACTAGTGGTCATCCATCCTGCGGTTTGTTTGGCTTTTTGGAGATTTCGGAGATGGGTGGGAAGCCCATTTTGCCCTCTCAAATCCATGGGTATATTCTGGGGACAGCCTGACTCATTATCCATCCTGCATATGGGTTCCAAGCTGCCCTATCCATCTGATTTCCCTCCCTCTCAGCTTCTTCTTCTCTTCAAATCTGTGTTTAGTTGTGTCCCAGTGCCCATTTTGCATGCACAACTCAGGTACAACTATTTTAAAAATACGGGCCTGGTTCAGTAAAGCACTTATTCACATGCTCAGCTTCAAGCAAATGAGTAATCCTAGGTTTCAGCGTAGCAGCCGTGTTAGTCTGTATCCGCAAAAAGAACAGGAGTACGTGTGGCACCTTAGAGACTAACAAATTTATTAGAGCATAAGCTTTCGTGGACTACAGCCCACTTCTTCGGATGCATATAGAGTGGAATAAATATTGAGGAGATATATATACACACACATACAGAGAGCATGAACAGGTGGGAGTTGTCTGAGAGGCCAATTAAGTAAGAGAAAAAAAACTTTTGAAGTGATAATCAAGATAGCCCAGTACAGACAGTTTGATAAGAAGTGTGAGAATACTTACAAGGGGAGATAGATTCAATGTTTGTAATGGCTCAGCCATTCCCAGTCCTTATTCCATCCTGAGTTGATTGTGTCTAGTTTGCATATCAATTCCAGCTCAGCAGTATCTCGTTGGAGTCTGTTTTTGAAGTTTTTCTGTTGTAAGATAGCCACCCGCAGGTCTGACATTGAATGACCAGACAGGTTAAAGTGTTCTCCCACTGGTTTTTGAGTATTATGATTCCTGATGTCAGATTTGTCTGTGGAATAAGATATACTAGAATTCAAAGCTTCTTTTATCTGTGTAGTTAAATTGTGAATGTGAATTTTATCTGTGTAATTGAATAAGGACTGGGAATGGCTGAGTGTATGTGTGTATATATATCTCCTCAATATTTATTCCACTCTATATGCATCCGAAGAAGTGGGCTGTAGTCCACGAAAGCTTATTCTCTAATAAATTTGTTAGTCTCTAAGGTGCCACAAATACTCCTGTTCTTTTTGCAGATACAGACTAACACGGCTGCTACTCTGAAAACTGAATTCAATGAATATTCAGACAAATTCACCTTATCTTTACTATGTGCATATCCAAAAAATGCAAAGTGCATCAAAGATAAAAATATAGTTGTCAGGTTCAGGACATTCAGTTGTTTATTTTCTTTATTTCTATTTTCCTTATAGTAGTAAAATGAAAGTATGTTAACAAAAGTTCTGTCCCCATTCCTTCCCCCTCTCCATTCCATCTCCATATAGGTTTGTAATGCCCCTTCCACAAGCCTCACTGTCTACACATGATGGAATCATAAGTAAAGCGGATAATCGAGTACAAAAAAGTCTCTCTTTTCTCTGGAACCACACATTCCTTTAGCTCAGTGGGAGAGATCTACATTCTAATCACTACCTGTGACTTCCTCAACTATTAATTAGTATGGATAACTGTATCTAGAGAGTGGGGCATGGCAGCCTCCAGTGGTCTTCATTGGGACGGTGTCCCTTATATTCCTCTTTCACTGAAGTGCTGCTCTGCCAATGCTATCCTGTTTCACCTACTCACTTAGCAAGAGCTCTTCTGGAAAATGTATCCCATTTTCAGGAAAGAACAATTTAATGTTGCAATGCTTCTTGTTTACGCTCTTTAAATAAAATAAGGTGACAGTTTTGTCATAAAAGATGATTAATACATTTTTAGTTTTATATTTACATTTTTACAAATAACCTACCATGCCCTCAGATATTTCACAACAGGTCTCTTGAGCTGCAAATTTTGGGTTACAATAAATTATTATGCGGCGAAGTTCAATCTGTTAAAAATGTAAAAAAAAGAGTGGGGATTTATATCAACAGTAAAAAAGGAATATATTTAGGCACTAGGAGAAACTATGTAATTTTCTGAACTTACCATTATAATTGGTCATTCTGAAAATATCACATTTGACTTAAATATGTAAGAAACAGATAAATTCAGAACTTAATAAAAAAAAAATCACATGAATATGATGGACCAAATTCTTTTCTCAGCTACTGCAGTGTAAATCCTATAATGGGACCCAGTTATCTTCATGGAAGCTGTAATCCTCTGCATCGCTCTTGCTATCTGTCCTGAGTTTTAAACACTCAATGAAGTGTATTCTCAATGTCACACAACCCTGGAGTGAGCCCCTCTAGCAATCCACTGGAGCCAGAGTATGATCTATCACCTTGGACAGGCCTTTGCCTGGCCCTTTCCACTATGTCATTTGAAGAGCAGGAATCAAGTCTTTTATTCTGGTTACTTTAGGGTGGATTGTCAGAGAGAAGGTAGCCCCAGGAAGCTGATTATAGTTAGCTGATTATAGTCCTGGCAGAAGTTAGTGCAGTGACCTACCTACTCTAGCTTAAATTGCTTGCGTAAGGTACTTTGTATCAGAGGAGAATTGGCATAGCACAGCTCTGGTCCCCCACAACCCCTCCTCAATCCTGCCCTGGCCCCAGCACACCTCCTCTCTCCCCCAAAACACCATATACACTGGGGAGTATCAAGAGTGCTTGGTGGTGCAGGAACCATCTCCATGGCCTTCACCAGCTTTATGCCAATGGAGTTCCCCTACACAAGGGGAATTCCCTGCTGGCAAAGTCCACTGAAAATTTGGGTCTTTTATTATGTGTTAATGGCTGGGCTGTATTTAGGATTTAAGGACAGGTCCTGAGGTGGGGGGAGACATTATACATTTTAAATAAATATGGGCTTCAACCTGCAAGATGCTAAGTACTCTGGCCTTGATCATAGAATCTGTTTGGATAGAAATTCCGTGCGTGAATAATAAGAGTATAGCAGTAGGAATATATTATCAACCTCCTAACCATGATGGTGATGGTGCTTTTGAAATGCTGAGGGAGATTAGACAGGCTACTAAAACCAATAATCATGGGGAACTTCAACTATCCCCATATTGACTGGGTACATGTTACCTCAGGACAGGAGGCAGAGATAAAATTTCTGGACACCATATAGTGCTTCTCGGAGCAACAGGTTCCAGAACCCACAAAGGGAGAGGCAATCTTTGATTCAGTCCTAAGTGGAGCACAGGATCTGATGCAAGAGGGGAATATAGATGAACAGCTCAGTAATGGCGACCATAATGTAATTAAATGCAACTTTCTTGTAGGAAGAAAACTATTAAAGAAACGCACCACAGTAGCATGTAACTTCAAAAAGGGGAACTTCACAAAAATGAGGAAGCTAGTTAAATGGAAATTAAAAGTCACAGGCATTTCACTTTCATAAGCTGCATGGAAACTAAAAACACCATAATACAGACTCAAACTAAAAGTATATCCCAAATGAAAAAAAGCAGCAAAGAGGACTAAAAAATGCTTCTGGTTAAACAACAAAGTAAAGAAGTGGTCAAAAGTAAAAAGAAATCCTTCAAAATTGGAAGTCAAATCCTACTGAGGAAAATAGAAAGGAGCATAAACTCTGGCAAGTCAAATGTAAAAGTATAATTAGGCAGGCCAAAAAGAATTTGAAGAGCAACTAGCGGGGAAAAAAATGTTGCTGTTTAGTTTTTGTGTAGCAGGAAGCCTGCCAAACAACCAGTGGGGCCACAGGATGATCCAAGTGCTGAAGGAGCACTCAGTGAAGACAAGGCTGTTGTGGAGAAGCCAAATTAATTCTTTGTGTTGGTCTTCGCTGCAGAGGATGTGAGGGAGTTTTCCACACCCAAGCCATTCTTTTTAGATGACAAATCTAAGGAACTGTCCCAGATTTAGGGGTCAATAAAGCTGGTTTTGGAATAAACTAATAAATTAAACAGTGATAAGTCATCCGGACCAGATGGTATGCACCCAAGAGTTCAGAAGGAACTTAACTATAAATTGCAGTTATTATTTGTGGTATATAATATATCGCTTAAATCAGCCTGTGCACAACTGTGATCCAATTGATATAGTGTACTTGGACTTTCAGAAAGCCTTTGGGTACGTCTATACTTACTTCCTGGTCCGGATGTAAGCGATCGATCTTCTGGGATTGATCCCGGAAGTGCTCGCCGTCGACGCCGGTACTCCAGCTCGCCGAGAGGAGTACGCGGCATCGACGGGGGAGCCTGCCTGCCGCGTCTGGACCCGCGGTAAGTCCGGACTAAGGTACTTCGAATTCAATTTGCGTACCTTAGTCCGAAGTGGGGGGTTAGTGTGGACCAGGCCTTTGACAAAGTCCCACATCAACTGCTCTTAAGCAAACTAAGCAGTCATGGAATAAGAGGGGAAGTCCTCTCATGAATCAGTAAATGGATTAAAGATAGGAAACAAAGGTTATGAATAAGTCGTCATTTTGCACAGTGGAGAAAGGTAAATAGTGGAGTCCCCAAGGGATCTGTCCTGGGACCAGTGCTGTTCAACATATTCATAAATGATATGGAAAAAGGGATAAATAGTGAGATGGCAAACATTGCAGACAATACAAAATTACTCAAGATAGTTAAGTTCAAAGCTGACAGCAAAGAATCACAAAGGGATCTCATAAAACTGAGTGACTTGGCAATAAAATGGCAGATGAAATTCAATGCTGATAAATGCAAAGTAATGCACATTGGAAAACAGAATCCCAACTATATATAGAAAATGATGGTATCTCAATTAGTTGTTATGACTCAAGAAAGAAATCTTGTGGATAGTTCTCTGAAAACATCTGCTCAGCGTGCAGCAGCAGTCAAAAAAAAGCTAACAGAATGTCAGGAACTATTAGGAAAGGGATAGATAATAAAAAAAGACAATAATTCCACTATATAAATCCATGGTACACCCACATCTTGAATATTACTTGCACTTTTCATTGCCTCATCTCAAAAAAAGCTATATTAGAATTGGAAAAGCACATAGAAGGGCAACAAAAAATATTAGGGGGATGGAACAGCTTCCATAAAAGGAGAGATTAAAAAGACAGACTGTTCATCTTAGACAAGAGATGACTAAGGAGGAATATGGTAGAGAAGTCTATAAAATCATGAATTGTGTAGAGAAAGTGAATAAGGAAGTGTTATTTAACCCTTCACATAATACACGAATTGGGTCACCCAATGAAATTAATAGGCAGCAGGTTTAAACAAACAAAAGGAAGTACCGGTACGTTTCACATCGCTTAGTCAACCTATGGAACTCATTGCCAGGGAATGTTGTGAAAGCTCAAAGTATAACTGGGCTCAGAAAAGAATTAGATAAGTTCATGAAGGACAGGTCCATCAAGAGCTATTAGCCAAGATGGTCAGGGAAGCAAGCCCGTGATCTGGGTGTCCATAAACCTCTGACTGGCTTCATCCAGAAGCCAGGACAGGATGAAAGGGGATGCATCACTCGAGAATTTGCCCTGTTCTGTTCATTCCCTCTGATGAATCTGGCAACAGCCACTGCTGAAAGACAGGATACTGTGCTAGATGAACCATTTGTCCGACCACTATGGCCATTCTGATGTTTTTACCATCCGGTAACACTCTTAAGGACTTGCTTAACTTTAAGTATATGAGTAGTTCCACTGAAGAAAAGCATGTGCTTAAGTGTATGGCCCGATCAGAATCAGAGTATTCAGCACTGTGCAAGATCAAGCTCTGCAATAATGCTAGGTTATGCTAATAATATAAAATAAAGTAAAACAGTTAACATGAATAATAATGTGCTGAGTATAGAATGCAGTTGGAAATTTTCATGTCATCACTCTAACCCCCACACAGCAGGCTTAAAACCTCATAGGCAGATGTGTACTAAATATTAAAACTAACTAACATTTCTCACAACTACAAATTACTTCCTCCGAGTTTTTGCACAAGGAAGTATAAGAGGCAAAATCTCTGGAATAGAACATAGATTATAATATGTAAGGGTTGCTTTGGTGACTCAGATAGCAGATAAATAAAGGCCCCATTATCACTGGATAGGGAAATTCTGTTGCTTTGGCACTGCAGCAGAGTTCTTACTACACCATTTTATTTAAAGATAATAATAATCAATCTTATGATGTTCCCCTGACTGTAATTGCATGAATCATACTGTTTTTAGACTCATACATCTACCATGTTTGGGTAGGTGAGGATTTATCATTCCCATGAAAATACTTGGAGTTGGTAAACATGTTATACATTCTTTCCCTTTCGATGACAAATTAAATAATATGAAAATTGAAAACAAAACCATTACTATAAAATGAGCCCTAAATGGTACAGTAGTAATAAGTCAAAATGACTTATTGGATAGATACAGAAACGTAAATAATATTGAAAACAGGAACCCTCTGTAGTCCTTATTCAGACAATAATGACCATTTAGAACAATGGAGAGTTTTGCCTGAATAGAGATTGAAGGAGCTGATACTTTGTTTAGAAGAGAATAACTAAAAATTCGACCAGTGGACTGGAGTAAAACACCCAACGGGTATTAATTTTTTTGCATTTTGTTTTGTTTTCATATTTCTTTAGTATGCTGTTACAAGTATGTTTAAAACATGATTTGCATATTAGCCCATTTTACTTTAAAAATCATCTCACTGGTACAACTCACATCTACAGGCTTGTCATCTGCAGCTCGAGCAGCAATGAAAGTCCTTCCTTGAAAGTCAATGGAGTCCTTTAGATCAGTCTGCCATCTCTCAATTAAGTTACAATCCACATAGAGGGAAACGATCCTTGACTGTATACTAACGGCAAGCTTATGCCACTGCCGATCAAAGAGAGGATAAATTTCCCGATTTTTAAAGGTGTGGTGTAGCACGTTTCCCGGAGCGGATTTGGCTATATATTCCACAACTTTTTTTGAACCATCAACTATGACAGACACCTGGGGAAAAAAACAATTTAGTATAAGTCAGAATTACAAGCAAACATGTTCTGTACATAAACCAGGAAGAAAAATAAGTGAGCAACCTAATAGCATAGATTAGGCAGGAATCATGAAATATTCTTTCATGTAACTTTTTCAGTGTCCATCCATCCTACATTTCAACACACCTAGTACCATTCCAATATTACTGGAGAAATTTTGCTGAACTTCTGTATTTCTGTATTTGAATAATGACCACCAAGCTATTTTGAACAGCAGATTTGTCTTATGTAAATTAGATCTGAATCCAGAGGCGAAAGACCCACTAACCTATATCTATCCTCCTCCAACAAAAAAGAAAACTATGTGAAAAATAAAATATATTCTTACCTGTGGGATGTCAGACTGATTTAAAATTTGCCATATATGCCACCGTTCCTTTCTGGTGTTTCGTCTCACACGGAATGTGGCTATTAAAGAATATTCTTCAGGAAGCCCATTTGGAAATACTTGCCTATGGGTGCAGGGGGAAAGAAAAGATTCTTTTTATTCTGATATATGAAAGGAAGGTGGGGGAAGGGAACTAAGGATAAAACAGACATACGTTCAACACACAGTATCAAATTGTGATTTCATTTACACTCATGAAATCCTACTGAGGCCAAAGGTTGCAATAATTAAGCCTTTGAATTTTGAAACTGAAAGATACTATGCTGCAAACACAATTGATTTTCCAGCACTGAAGAAATGTTTCGAACAGGTGAGACAGATGTAAACAACAGATACATATATAACAAAACTGCACTGACATCTTGTAGTATGCTATTCTATGTTTCATTACTCAGGGAACAATATTTGTCTAATGAAAAAAAACTACATGGTGTCCACCTGGATTTACAGCTCATCCAGAAACAGACACTCCCCTTATCAGAATGTGTGAACCCTGATAATCTGATAAAGCAGAAAAATGTCCCCTTTCGCCCTCCCAATGACCATTCAATGTAAATGGTTTAATTTTGTATCACTGTAGATGTTAATACAATTACATACTCATTTACAGCCTTTTGTAATCCCAAAGATGTCAATATGACCTCTGAATCTAATAGAAAAACAAGAGACAACCTCCAACATTAATGAATATTGCATTATAATTTATTTATCTGCAGATTGGGTAGGAAAATAAATTAATATATACATAAAACACTTTACTTCTTACCACTTGAGGAAAAGTACATAGAAGTTTTGCCATCAATTCATAAAGTCACTTATTCTGGGACAAGAACAAGAATGCCTAAATATTTCAGAGTTTGCAGTGCAGCAATTACACATGTAAATGCTCAATGAAATCCTGCCAGGTTCGTCTTAAAAGTGAGTGATTTAGATAAACAAATAGCTCCATAGAGAAATTAAAGATTCAGTGAATGATCTGTGAGGAGTCTTAAGGATGATCATATAAGAGTCTAAAGAGGTATTTGTTTTGAGAAAAGCAATGGGAGCAGGTGGAAGATCAAGATAAGATGTGAAAGCATATAGTGTGATCCACTTGTGATATTCTGCAGTCTGTTTTAGATTAAGCATTTATGTGGGTTCTGAGATGTGAAGGGTTTTTTTATGTTATCAATTACTGGTTGTTTTGTTGTTGGGGGAGGGAGGGGGAAGGCCTTACAGCCCTGCAGATCAGGGCAACTCTATCGACTTTTGCTCTTGTTTTTGAGGTTTTTTGAACTGATTTTAATAATCTGCCTGGCTACCGATAGTCTTTGCACAGGTATCTTTTTGCCTTTTTATGTGAAATAGATAAACAATTTTTAAAAAATAGGGCTTTTTCAGGTCTTGATTCTGAAGTGAGATTTAAAAAGTACAATAATTTATTGCTTTGCGGGCTTCTTGTAGCCTTCACTCATGAAGGTAGTTATGCTAGAATACTCTTGTTTTCCCAAAGGTGAATTAGGGAAGGAACAGATCAAGAGAAAGGGGCATAGTTTCTAAAAAGTTTGGGATTCTGAACCTACATATCAATTATTTGCATGTTCCCATTCAGAAAGAAGTGAATTGGTGCCCCAGGTCATGAGAGCAAGATTTTTCATGTACTTGCAAGTCTAAACAATACACAAGAGCCTCCTTAGATGAGCAGTACATTATTTTTAAGAGGCAGGACCAGTCCTGTTTTACAGTGAAATGTAAGACAAGTAGGATCTGTGACAGACACCCATAACCCTGTGACGGGGTGAACTCACCCTGCACTGGATGGGGAAAGGTTAAGTCCTCACTGTGGGCAGAGGAAGCCATGCCCCCACATCCCTACTGGGCATGCTCTGGGTGGAGCACCAGTATAAGAGGGGGCAGCCCAGCTCAGTCTGGGCTGACCGCCAGAGAGGAAGGATGCTCCTTGCCGGCTCCCACCCGGGAGCAGCTGGAGCCCTGGACCATGGAAGCCAGAGGCACCAAGACCCAAGCAGACATCTAGATACCTATGGATGCCCGAGCTATAGGGAGTTGCACCAGTCGAGGAACCCGGAGACCCCAAAGACACACAGACTGCCACCATGAGTATCACTGTAGGAAATAGTCCATTGTCCTGATGATAGTCAGCGCATTGTGGACAGACTTCCGCTGACTCATTGGCAGACACACTCGCAAACAGTTTGGGAAACGGAATAAAAGTTCAGATGTAATGGGCTTATTCTTGCTTCTCTTGTCACTGAGCTGGAAAAGTGACAATGGAAGAGAGCATTTCAGAGTAAACTAAAAAAAGCACACAGAGTCAAATTAATTCCTAGTGTAACTCCATTGATTTAAATGGAGTTAGAACAGGGATTAATTTATCCCAGAATCTATTAATTATGCTCATATGATTTTCTGATAATGCTGGAAATGTTGAAGAATTTCAAATTTATAAATGGGATTCACACTAGAAGGATCAGACTCACAACGGACTGGTGAGTCAATAGCCCTAAATAAATGAAGTAGTTGATTCACTGATTTATCACATTTAAAAACCAAAAGCAACAACAACAACTACTCTCTCTTCATGCTCTTCACTTCTTTGGAAAAGAGACCAGTGTAAAACTATACTTTACAGTTATCCCAATTGCATTATGCTAGCATAGCTACTGTATTCCAAAGACCTAATTTAACAAAAGGCACGTAGAAGGCATGCGTTTAGTCTCTGAGGGAAAGAAGAATGTCAACAGCACAAGTAAATGAACATTCCCTGGTGACCAATTAATGGAAAATAATTAATGGATGCCTTACAAGATGTGCTTCCTATTCAATGGTGAATTCCATAATGTAGGCATCTAGGGAATGGAGCCCTGGAAAATTGGCATCCTCAAGAATGACTGGGTTTTGCTTATGTTCTATTGCTTGAATGGCTCTAACTATACATAATAGAATAAAAGCAGCTAACCGGTTTAAAGAGTGCCTAGACAGAACTGATTAGTAAAAGTGTTATACTAAGACAAAAAGATTGAAATTATATAACCTTTGATCAGAACCAAAATTAGAGTGTATTATGGAGAGATGTGTTCTAATACACAAAAGAGCTCACAGAAAGACACATACCCTAAATCAGAGAACACCATAATGTTAATAGGGGAAAAACAAAAATTCTAAGTTAGAATCTTACAGAACATTAGATCTGGAATTTAGAATCTCTTTGAAAGCTTAATATAGTGTTCAATTTAGGCGCTCCTATCAGTGTGAGCATGTAAAAGGCATTGCTCATGACAATAAAATGAGCTATCCATTATTTGCAATAGTAAAGGAAGTACACAGCACTGCACATTAGTGAAAAAGAGGCAAGTTACACCAAGATTAATGTAGCACTACACTGTGCCTTACATAGTGCAGTGATGATGGCATGATGCAGTATCACCCAATATGTGAGCAGCGCAAAGAAAGAAAGTGTGGCCAGAGGAAAAAAGACAGTCTCAGATGAAAAAAAGTCTGCACTCTACACTCCCTGAACCGCACAAAGGTATAAAACCTATCTATTTCGAACTATAACATAGGTTGCAGTATCAGCCATGTGTCTCCAGCCTGCTCACAAACTCCTAGAGTTTCCTCCCTGTGACATCAGAGTGCTGTAGGGTATGCCAAAGAACACACATTCACATACACAAGAACATACAAATGGCTGTATGAGGTCAGACCAATGGGCCATCTAGCCCAGCATCATGTCTTCTGATAGTGGCCAGTGCCAGACGCTTCAGAGGGAATGAACAGCATAGGGCAATTTTGCATGATCCACTCCCTGGTGTCCAAATCCAGCTTCTGGAAGTTGGGGACTTAGAGACATCCAGAACATGGGGTTATATTCCTGACCATCTTGGCTAGTAGCCACAGATGGACCTATCCTCCATGAACTTTTCTAATTCTTTTTTGAACCTAGTTATACTTTTTGCTTCACAAAATCCCCTGGCAATGAGTTCCACAGGTTGACTATGTGATTTGTGAACAAGTACTTCCTTTTGTTTTAACCTGCTTCCTATTAATTCAATTGGGTGACCCCTAGTCCTTGTGTTATGTGAAGGAGTAAATATCATCTCCCTATTTACTATCTCCACATAGTCCCCCGCCCTGCCGTCTCTTTTCTAAGTTGAACAGTCCCAATCTTTTTAATCTGTTCTCATATGGAAACTGTTCCATCCCCCTAGTCATTTTTGTTGCCCCTTTCTGTACCTTTTCCAATTCTAATACATCTATTTTGAGATGGGGCAACCAGAACTAAATGAAGTATTCAAGAAGTGGGCATACCATGCACTTATATAGTGGCAATATGATTTTTCTGTTTTATCTATCCCTTTCCTAATAGTTCCTAATATTCTGTTAGCTCTTGTGATTGCTGATGCACATTGAGCAACTGTTTTCAGAGAACTGTCCACAGTGACTCCAGGATCTCTTTCTTGAGCAGATACAGCTAAATTTAGACTGTCATTTTGTATGTATAGTTAGGATTATTTTTTCAAATGTGTATTACTTTGCACTTCTCAACACTGAATTTCATCTGCCGTTGTGTTTCCCAGTCATCCAGTTCAGTGATATCCCTTTGCAACTCTTTCCAGTCAGCTTTGGACTTAACTGTCTCAAGTAATTTTGTATGGCATCAGCTGCAAATTTTGCCACCTCACTGTTCACCCGTTTTGCCAATAATTTATCAGTATGTTAAACAGCATAGCTTCCAGTACAGATCTTTGGGGGACCTTGCTTTACTGACCTGACCATTTATCCTACCCTTTGTTTTCTGATCCATTAGAGGACTTCCCTCTTATCCCATAACTGCTTAGTTTGCTTAACGGCCTTTGGTGAGCAACTCTGATGAGTGTACCTGGCCTTTGTGGCTCTCTAAAAGAGGCCCCAAGGTCCTACTACACCCCGCCCCAGGAAAGGAACAGTGAAGATGGGTTCTCCAGGCCTACCTAGTGAGATCTCACAGAAGCAGCCAATCAGAGCCCATTAGGCTCAGATAAAAGGCACTGCAGGGATTTAGCAGGTCAGTTCTTGGCTGGGACC